CATACACCTTAGGGCTAAGGAGTCTCAACAAGAGTATTAGAATCCCTTTTTAAACAGTCCCTTTAGGATGATGAATGTGTGAAATGCCTGCTTCAAAATTCCAAGGGTTCCCTAAATTCCGACATACGCTAACCCTAAATGTTGGAAATCTGGTGGTGAAATCTTACTTTTAATTTTTTAAAAACACAGTCCACTCTAGAGGAGCAAATCTATTTTTAATTTTAGAATAGAGTATGAGAAAGCGTCACATCCATCCAAAGATAAAAATGTGAATCCTAAGAAACAAAGGCAACAAATGCATCACCCCAAATTTCTCACTCCATTACTATGTTGGGTTATTCCCTCGCTGGCAGCAATGTCTACCAGGTTTTGCCTGGAAAGAACCCTTCCCTGTGGTCAGGGAGACCAAGACTTCAATCCCTACTCTACCAGGTGACCAGTCACGTGGGAATTACTTATTCCCCAGCTCCAGTACGTATGAGACCGCTCATACCTCAGGCGGAGGAACTGATGCTTACAGAGTGGCTTGCAGAAGTTCTGCTGTGTTCAGAGCTGAGATTTGCTCCTAAGCACACCTCAGTGCAGACCTAGAGTGCTTGGCCACCAGACTGCTGGTGCCACAGTACCCTGGTAAGAAGCAGAGGTATGCCTCAGAACAATCTGCTCTTTTCTGGGCAGGCAGAGATAATGGGTGATTTTTCTTCTTTTGTGTGTGTATGTGGGAGGGGCTGGGGTTGACCCAGGGCCTTTGCACTGATCTTCATCCCCAGCCTTTTTTATTTTTTATTTTGAGATGAAGTTCTGAAATTGCCCAGGCCAGGACAGAACTTGCAATCCTTCCGCCTCAGCTTCTCAGAGCACGGGGATCACAGGCATGTGCCACCACTCCCAGAATGGGGGCATTATCGCTAATGCCGTGCTCACAGTGGACATTCAAAAACACAGACGAACATCTATAGTTTTTCCACATTAAAAACATCAACTCCTCCTCCAAAAGGCACAAGGAAGGCAAAGCTTACTCTAGAAATGCACTAGACACGGTCACTCTCCCTCTCTCTCCTTTGCATAGGTAGTACTACTCCTTTGCCGAGGGCCATGCAGCTAGCATAGCGCCGGGACTCAAAGTCACAGGGATCTCGACTCTGAATACCCTTTCCACGACCGTAAGGACTTTGATGTAGTATAAGACAAATTAAAATGTGTCGCACTGTTCAAACTCATTTTCCTATTTGAAAATGTTCACAAACTTTCCTAGGCCAGTTAAAAAGACCTGAAAGTTGACAGGGAACACTTAATCAATCTGCATACTTACTTGGCCACTGGCAAAGGTGTACCTTGCCTTTGCAGTGGATCCCTGCCAATACTCTCTCAGAGACTTGTGCTGCACTGAAGTAATACGAAGCAAAGTTAAACACAGAGACACCTATGCACTGAGAGGCCCTAATTTTAACAGCGTGATAGCAATTGCTTTACGTCAATAATATATCAATTGAAGCTGTGCAAATAGACTCCCTAACTCAGCCCTTGCAGTGTTTGAGGAGACTGCAGTAAGGACTTGTGAGAGTAACAGCATGGAGAGAGAGTGGGGGGCCGGGTTTTCAGCTAAAGTGTCGCTCTGTTCTGTTTTAGTTACGGAGCCGCAGGCTACTGGTAAGAGATAAATACATAAAAGGAACACGCTATCGGCCAGGAAGGAACCGTCTGCACGCACACACGGCTGCTCCGCAGTCACGTCCCACGTGAAACGCTCCCCTTTCCCTCCCGGCTGCGGCGGGGGTCACAGGGATGTTGAGCTGCCTCCTTTCAAGGGCCACATCCAGGGGAAACCAGACTTTCACAATCAAATGATCTCGCACCTCGGGGAGCAGGTGCAGTCTTGACCCTCTCCTAGACAAAGGAGCCACTTTCCACCTGAGGTCGGGAGCTGTCACCCTAGGTGAGCAGCTGGGAATGCGGAGGGCGGCCGCGGGGGCGCCCGGAGCCGGGTCCTGGGAGCCCCGCGGCTGCACTGCTCTCCCCGCTCTTCCTTCCTGCAGTCACTCGGGAGTGCGGGGACCTCCGTGCACCCTGAGCATCATCCCCAGCATGTGCCAGTGTCCACAATGTCCACAATGTGCTTTCCTGCGTCAGGCCTTCGCGTTCGTTACCCAAACAGCCTTTCACTCTGTTCTAGAACTTCAAGCCCACAGAGTGAGTGAGCTATTTCTCTCCCCTGTCCTTTTCTCTTAGACAACAGAGGGTACTTACTATGAAAAATTTATCAGTTTGTACTAAGCCTACAGTAGCAAATGCTATAATCACCCAGACATCGTCGTGCTTAGAACTTAACTTGAAGTGAAAAGGGTGGCCAACGCCTTCTTTTTTTAAGCTAGTTTAACCCCTCATCAGAAGTCAAGGGAATTTGTGAGTGTGACAAGCCGCTAACACCTCCAATGTCAAAAGACATTTTTGGATAGCTCTGCCAAGGAGTTTATAAGCCAGCCTGGGCAAGGAGCAGCTCCCGGGCTGTGAGCCAGCCAGTTCACACCTGGAAGATGGCAAGGACGAAGCCACTTTCTGGGTCAAGGACAAGTGTGGCCACTGCTTTCTGCTCAAGTGTCACTTTTACACAATACAGATTTTCTTTTTCCTTAGTGCGTGCGTGTGTGTGTGTGTATGTGTGTGAGATGCTAGGGTGTGTGTGTGTGTGTGTGTATGTGTGTGAGACGCTAGGGGTTGAACCCCTTTGCCCTGAGATACATCCTTAGTCCTTTTAAAATTTTATTGTTTGTTTGTTTGTCTAGTTTTGTGGTACTGGGGATTGATCCCAGGGCCTTCACACTGAGTTATATCCCGTCTCCCTGACTTTTTATTTTTTGAGACAAAGTCTTGCTAAGTTGCTAAATTGGCCTTGAACTTGCAATCTTCCTGCCTCAGCCTCCCAGAGTGCTGGAATTACAGTTGTATGCTACCACACCTTGCTGGGTTGCTCAGTTTTTTGTTTTTTTTTTCTGGTACCGGGAATTGAACTCACGACCTTGCCCTTGCCAGGCAGGCACTGTGCTGCCGAGCTCAATCTCCAGCCCCGGTTGCTCAGTTTCATAGATTACAAAGTACTAACACATACACTAACTCAATCCCTGAGGTCATTCTTTAGGCAGGAATGGTTGTTTCTACATACACCACAGGCAAACTGACTAGTGCTCGGGAAAGCCCCAACGTCTCCTTCCTGAGCTGGGGACTGTCAGACGGATCAGCCTGGGTAGCTGTGAGGCTCAGGCGTCCTTCTCCCCAACGACAGGCAGTGTCCTGGGTCCCTCGGGAACACAGGCCACGTCGCAGCACCTCTCACTGAGCGGGTCAGGTCAGCACCGCCTAGCACACAGCACACGTCTGACAGCGAGGCCCCTTCCGCCCTCGCGTAACAGGTCTAAGTGCTTCACACAGAGTTGTGATTCGGGGAGAGAAATGACAGTACAGAGAACAACGAAGTCCTCAACAGGCACTACTGACGATTCTGCAAGCAAATCCTTGAATGAGCTATTTAAGGAACATGACCGCAGGATATCTGCTTCTTATTTCAACACATGTAAGTTTTAACGCACTTTAACCTTGAGAAGTAGCTTTGGCTGGCTGCGATGGCACACGACTGGCAATCCAGCTACTTCAGAGGTCAAGGCAGAAGGATCACAAGTTCAAGACCTGCCTGGGAAATGCAGGGAAACCCCATGTCAAAATAAAAAAAACAAAAGAGGCCTGGGGCTAGCTCAGTGGTAGACTCAGTGGTAGCATGCGAAAGGCCCTCGGTTCATCTCTAGTAGTTCGAGGAGGAAAGGGGCATGGGCGACCTTCCTCATCCAGGACGAGCACATTTCCATAGTGCTCACTTTGTCCCCAGGGCCCGGGAGGGAGCAGCAAAACCGCACAGCGCACTTAAGGGTGGGTAAGGAGGCTTCCCGACCGCGGGGGACGGAGCCCACCTACTCCTCCAACACAGCGAATGACGCAGGGTCACGTGGGAACAATTCCCCACCATAATCAGTCTCAGCTGCCGTCACATTTGGAGCAAGAGGAATATTGCGATGAGCAATTGCACAAGTCAAATGGGTTTCATTATTAATAAAGAATCCTATGAAACGTATGTTTTGTTTTTCTAATCACTATGATAAAAAAATCCAATCCAACAACCATTAAGCAATTGGAAAATAATTATTTTCCAATAAAAATATTCCAATGAAAATAATTATTTTCCAATAAAATTGACACCTTAAACTGACTTTCACAATTTCTGGAAAATTCTGACTTCACTTCATTGCAGCTATAATTCTAACTTACCTTTTTTGTAATGATAAAATATATTTTTCTCTTAGGCTTTTAAATATATCACTTATTTTAAAGATCTGAGTTCTCATTAAAATCTCCTTGAGAAATCCAAGGAGATTTTAATGAGACTTAGTGACGGATAACCCAATATTGCATACTGTCACTCTGTCTTTAATGTCATAAAAAATGCCCACATGTTCGGCTGGCCGTACTTTCTACGCAGCGCTGTTTAGCTTCAGTAAGCTATGGAGTGGCCTCTGCTCTCCCGATACTCGTTCATCTACAGCACTGTCAAACTTGTCACCCGAGCAGTGAATCACTGCCATCTGCACAAACTGCTAAAGCCTGAAGCACTGCTCCAGGCAGACAGCTGCGCACAGAGCCCTCTCCCCAGCCAGCCTCTCTGCCCATGGAGGACTTTCTAAATCATCTGTGAGGTAATCCCAGGGTCTGAGTGAAGGCTTTAATAAAGATAAAAAGAAAAGGAAAAATTTGTCAAAAACAAATTGGTTGTCTTTCAGGCAGACACCTTTTTAGCATTTTTTTTCTAAAACACTTCTTTAAACAGCTAGTGAAGCTCTCTTCATCTAAACAACCTGGAATTTCTAAAGAATGTTGTTTTTGCATAGTTAATATTTTCACATCCACACTCCCACCCCCACCGCTAGTCTTTCCCAGTATAATATAATCCTTTGCACCTGCAAAAGCTCCACACACTGCTGACTGCCAAGAATCCACCGCATGATCCTGCCGCCAGGACCAGAGGGCCTGTGTGTAAAAAGAAAGAAAAATACGAGTTATTAAATCTTTGAATTTATCGGAACCTCCTGTGGGTTAGCTCTGGGGATGGGAACTTAAGTGAGAAGCTATTTTGGTGGCATTTTTCACTGATGACATAAATGATTTTCCCAAGGACTTAACTGCATTCTAAAATAAATTAAAGAAACGAGGGCAACAGGAACACTAGAGTACTCAAAGGAAGTAATTTTCAGGGAATATTTTATACACACAGATTAAAATAAATTTTAAGACAATGAAATATCTTAATTTCCCATAATTCTAAATACAGAAACATCGTAATTCACAGTCCAGAACAGTGTTTGTCCAATTCCTCAATTCTTTTAAAAATCCTTATTTAAACTGTACATCTGAAGGATGCTAATTCTGTTCCCTGAGAATTAATTTAAAATATATCAAAATTTTTTTTTTCTATATTGCTCATGGAATATGTAAGTTGAGGATTATACAACTACCCATGGCCAAGTTCAAACTGGGCACAGTTATGGCAAAGAAATGGTATCTTGCTCACTAAGAGTTTATGATCTAGTAGAAGATGAGAGTAAGTCACATAAAAATGTTGCATAAGACTGCGTCAGGCATTGGTCCAATCTCTAATCACATTAAAGTCGCAGTCTTCACAGTGACGCTCAGTTGGGTCCTGTTGTTACCCACGTTTACCTAGGCTTTTGTTTGTTTGCTTTTGTTTCTGTTTCACCCAGGTTTTTAAAGATCAGAGTTTTGCATGTTATTTCTCTTAGCTTTGCTGAGATAATTACCTTCAAATAAAGTATGCAATTTCATATTTTCAAAACAAAAACACAAATAAAAAAAATGACACATTTTCACACATACACAGAAAATCACTGCTATAATTAGCACAGCAATCCTATCCACGACTCTGAAGTTTTGTGTTCCCGTGGAACCCCCTTTTCTGCCTTCCTGATACCCTTAAACAATCTGATCTGTCAGTACCTGTTCAGGTTTACACCCAGATGCCCTCCCAAAGCCTCAAGCACTCATTGGTGGGGCTTGGGGGAGTGAGGGGATCAGGGTGTGTGCTACTGATTGGTTTGGCATAGTTCTGGGTGTGGATGATGGACTTACTGAAGAGAGTGGCACCAACCCGTAGGCTCAGACCCCGGATAAAATAAAAGGAAAAGAAGGCAGACAGGCTCGCTGCTTTCTGACTGCCTTGCCATAGACTGGTCCTCCTCTGCCATGTGCCTCCCTCCCTTGGAGACAGTTGACTATGGACTGAACCCTCTACAAACTGTGAGCTAAAATAAACCTTTCTTTCATTAACTTGGGGTGTCAGGTATTTTGTCCCAGTAATGAGAACGTAACTAAGACACTATTGCATAGTCTGCCTTTTCTACAATTTTTCTGGAAATATAATTGCATGTTAATTTTTAATCTAGCTCTATTCAGAATTATTTTATGCTTTATCCATGTCACTGCAGATACCAATAGTTTATACTATGTCATAAGTTTACTGACCTGCAGATGGGCATTTGGAATTTTTCAGTTTAGATTTATTACAAATAAAGTCACAGAGAACATTTGTACCTAGGGTGAAGTAGCTAGACCACACGGTCAGGTACCTTTTTAAAAACTGCCAACCATTTTCGAAAGTGGTTGTAACATTTTACACTTCTATCAGTTCCAGTTTTTCTGTGTATTTCCCAGCACTTAGTATTGTCAGGATTTAATATTTTCACCAATACAGTGGTACCTCGGTTCATGAACATGATTCTTTCCACAATTTTGGTTGCAAACTGAGTTGGACGACCAAATCAAATTCAATGGTAGGTTCAATGCTGACCTTATGGGGAAATGTGATTTGGTTCCCATCCAATTCAATTTACCACCAGACTGTGGAGAGAACGGAATTCATGAATCAAGGTAGCACTGTGTAATAAATGTGTGATAGTATTTCACTGTGGCTTTAATTTGTATTTCACTAATGACAAGATGTTGAGCTTCTCTTCAGGTACCTATTTACTAACTTGCACAGGTTAGGCTTGAATTTGCAATCCTCCTGATTCAGCCTCCCAACAAGTTGGGATTATAGGTATGTACAAGTGCACCCAGCTCTGTGTATCTTCTTTAGTGTCTATTTAAATGTTTTGCACATTTTATTGGGTTGTCTCTTACTACATTACTAAGTTTTCACAGTTCTTAATATATTCTGTATATAAGTCACTTGAAAATATCTTCTCCCAGAGTGATTTACCTTTTTGTTCTCTTCACGGTATCTTTCAAAGAATGAAATATTCTAATTTTGATAAACTCCAAATTGTCATTTCTGGTTCTGGCTTCTGGCGACACATCTAAATAATCTTCTTTGCTTAACTCAAGGTCACCCAAAGATTTTTCTCCTATGCTTTCAGAAATCTTAGTTTCTTAGGTTTTACATTTATATCTGTCATCCACTTTGGATTAATTTTTGTATATAATACAAGTATGGACTGGAGTTCGTTTTTACAGATGCATATTTGATTGTTCCAGCAACTGGAAAAAACGAACCTTTCTCCAATGAACTAAGACATACACGGCCTTAGAATCAGTCTTCTCACTTTTGTCAGAGGTCCGCATGCGTGGATCTTTATCTTCAATCCATTCTGTTCTACAGATCTGTTTTGATGCCGATTCTCTCCTTTCTTGACTACTGTAACTTCTAGTACATTTTGGAACCAGGTAGGCTTTTATTGGTTGCCAAATTTGTTCTGAGTATTCAAGATTCCTTTCACATCTATATGAATTCTTAGCATCAGACTACTAATAGCCTTCTGAGCGTCTGACTGAGATCACAATGAATCTATTTTGGAGAGAATATGGGCTTTAATATTACTTTTAACTAAAAGTATGGCACATTTATTTACTTAGTCCTCCTTTAATTTCTCCCATTGTTTTAAAGTTTTCAGGATACAGGTTATTGTTATATATATAAATATTTTTTTAACCATATTTATGCCAAAGTATTTCATATGTTTTGATGCTATTGTCTTAAAACCTTCAATTTCTGATTGTTCATGGTTAACATGTACTGGTCATCAACACAAGTGATTTCCGAATACTGATTTCATATTCTACATCCTTGATAAATTTGCTAAACTTTGCACTAGTAGCATTTTGCAGAGTCCTTCAATTTTTTTTTTTTTTTTTTGGTACCAGGAATCGAACTCAGGACCTTGCGCTTGCCAGGCAGGCGTTGCACCCCTGAGCTACGTCCTCAGCCCAAATCCATCCATTTCTTACGTCAATGATCTATCATCTGTCAACATGGACAATTTTTCCTTTTTCCTTTCCAATTATGGTATCTTCTATTTCTTTTTCTTGCCTAAATGCACTAGGCATGACCTTCAGTCTAATAAGTGGCACTACAATAATGATAAAAACATTACCAAAAACCTTCTTGAATATATTAACTTAAATGGTTAGAATAGTATAATGACCTGGTGAACATGGTTTGACATTTTTAGGGAAGATCAAATATCCTCGAATTGAAAAAAAGAGCAGCAAAGTTAGCAGTAATTTCTTACTCTATTTCCCCACTGACAGCCGGCTGGGTGGCTGAGGATTGCTACAGAAATGGGGAAGATGCCCTATAAACAAAGACGCACATGGCCCTGCTCACTTCATTGATTTTAATAACTTTTTATGCTATTTAGTACATTAGATATATGATAATGTGTAATGTATCTCATTTCCTCCCATCCACACTAGTAATTGTCTGAAAGTGCATTTATTAAATTTTTAATGGACTAAAAGTACAGCTATTAGAGTTTTGTAACTTTGCGTGTAAAGGCAGATAAGCTTTAATTAATTAATTAATTAATTTTATCTTTTTGAGACAGGGTCTCGCTATGCAGTTCAGGCTGCCCTTGAGCTCACTTTGTAGCCCAGGCTGGTCTTGAATTTGCAATGATCCTCCTGCCTCAGCCTCCCTAGTACTGGGATTATAGGCATGCGCCACCATACCCAGGAGATAAGCTTTAAAAAACTTTATTACAAACAGGTTTCCAAAGACAGGCATGGTGGTGCAGGCCTACAATCCCAGCACTCTGAGAGGCTGAGCAGGAGTATTATAAATTCAAGCCTTGCCAGCCTGGGAAATTTATCAAGAGGCTGACTTAAAGTAAAAAGTGGGAAGAGGTCTAGGGACACAGACCGATTTGTGAAGGCCCTGCATTCACCCCGACACCAAGTGCACACACAGAGGGAGAGTGTGTGTGTGTGTGTGTATGGATGGATGGATGGACAGACGGACAGATAGTGCCGTTATTAAATGCAGTGTCTGGCATATTTTCAGTGAATGCTCTAATGTTTGTGCTTTTGTAGAAAATCTGTGCTTTTGTAGAAAACATTTTTCCCAGAGCACTTACAAGCACTAGAGACAGAATAAGAAAATGGTAGAATAACTTTCTTACTTTTTTTTTTAATTAAGCTTATTGGTACATTTAGGTACATGTAATGATCACAGTCATCACAGGGAATGTGACCTGTACATGATATACGTAGATTCTTTTTTTTCTTTTTTACTTTTAAAATAATGAAATAAGCATTTTGTCAGGCTCGTTCGAGTTTTCTCGCCTGACTTTTCTTTAGTGCTGGGGGTTGAGCGTGGAGCTGCACGTGGGGTCCAGCACTGAGCTACACCCCCAGCCCCGAAGGCCACTTGTGAGGCCACCCTCTCCTTCACGAGCCCGGAAGAGCAATGTAAGGCATACACTAGGCTGTTATAGCGAGCACAGGTCACCCTCAGTTCATCTTTTGATGCCGTCCACGGAGGAGTTCACGCCAAACAGGCCTACAATCCAAGGAGCAATGCTGCGCTTGTAAGCAACGGTAGAAAGCAAGTATCAAGGTGTGGAGGACAAGGACATGGGGGAGGGCTGGAGGGCTCCGCGCGACCCATCACCCCAGCAAACAGTCACTGGGCGCCTACCTGCTGCCAGGCACTGCAGACCGAAGGCAAAAGCCTTTTT